AAGTTATCTACTCACTATTATCCATAACTCGCGATCTTCTTGTTTCCAAATTACACTATTTGGCTATCGTCGAGAGCAACAATGATTCAATGTGAATTCTCCTCTTAGTAAAATAATCCATCATTCATCGAGTGTAGAAAAACGTACAGACTAGAAAATTGTGGTTGTCGTTAGATTGCCAACACAACACCTTTTCTAGTAGATTGATTCGATCAAAAATTACTACCTTCCAACTGCCGGTCATATTACCTCCATCTTCGCATTGCTAACGTTATCACAAATCACTGAGTTCATCACATTCGCATCATCGTCACGACCACCTATTTCACCTCTCTCTCTATCTCTCTCTCTCTTTCTCCCATTCAGACCATCAAGCAAGCAGGGATTCCACTGCACAGACGCTGCTGCACAACTACTCACTAACGCATCCGACGTCAACGTCATAATGGGAGGAGGCGCGACCGAATTCTATGGTACGTCGGCAAACAACACATCCGACAACAATGGGAAACGTTCAGATTCACGCAACCTCCTACATGAATGGCAAGAGATGCAGACCAGAATGAATCGCAACCATGTTCTCTTGCGTACAAATGACGAGTTTAAACAAACCGACTGGTCTTCAGTTGACTACGTTCTGGGTGAGTTTGTCAACTCATGACTTTCAGTACATAATGTTCTACGGCTTTTCGGTTTCATCTCAGTGTTATTGTGTATCAGTGACTAACAAACGATACAATGTTTCACAGTTCAGTTTAACTACTCAGTTGTCAGATGAACGCTAAAAATGCGTTCTTCACATTGTGAATGATTACGGAATTTTTCGAATAACAATAACCCAACTTAACTGATGTAGTGGATAATTTATCACATCATTTTAGAACTTGTGATGTCGGTTCATTGATCACAGGCACTATCCATGTTTAAATGGAAATGGAAAGTATTTAGTGTTAATGATGAATAAGATTAGAGATTGTGAATGAAATTCTCATACCTAATACAGTGATGATAACTCGGTGTTGTAGTGTTTGATTTCGAAATTATTACTTGTAACTGAAAATGACCTAGTTCAAATAATCCAACGGAAAATCAATGTCAATACGTGTTTTAACAATTGACCAAAGTTATTTCATCACTGAGAATGATGTTATACTCACTAACTATAGGGTTGACCATAATCCATACTTGCACAAGGAGACAGTTTTGAAGAAAAATCACAGTGATTTTGAACAACCTAGTGAGTTTTGAAAATCCAACTGACACATTTGTGCAATTATCAAAGTGACCTAATTAACTTGTTACAAAACGTATAGATAAAATGATCTCATCGTAACCTTTCGATATTATTTAAAATACTGACAGCGTAAAGTGAAACATTGAAATTTCAGAATGCAACTGAGAAAGTTGTTGATGTCGATTGTTGATGTCAGAGGCTTCTTGATTCACAGTGACAACGTAACAATCACATGCTTACGGAACCAAAGATCATCCAAACACAAATACAGGTGCACTTGATATAAATAATATGACAAGGATTATTCAACAAAGTGTTACTGCCTTTCTACATAGAGCCATAAGACATCAAACATTTTACAGATTCACCTGCCTATGAGGTTGTATATTAGACGATACTTGAACCACTAGAGAAAACTGGTGAGTATTGTCACGTATATAATACTTAGGGGTTATTTAAATTGTGATTATTATTTGATAAGAATAAATCAATGAAATCCATAATAGATCCAACACTGAAAATTTGATTGCATTCCTTTTCAAAATGAAAGTGATCACAACGTATTCAAGAATCACTTGAATGCAAATCGTCCATTCTCTTGGGTTCAGCTTACTTGCGACGCATATGGGTTGATTTCAAACAGTGAATTTTAGAGCCTAACTGTATCAGAACTTAGAAAATATGCTGAACGATCTGTCAAAATACTTATTTTGCACCGAAAAATCATTGATTGGTTTGATCGCATTCACCATGGTGAAAGATCATAACGATCGCAATACATGAACAACAAGTTAGATTGAACACAGATTCGTTAAATGGTTTACGGATATATAAGCATGTAATTTGTGAGTGGATCTGTTAGTCATAATGATCTAACGTGCGATGTTTCGGTTGGAGATAACCATGTTGATGTAGGAGTTATTCAAATAAAACGTCGAATGGTTAATCTCTTCCGAAATCGCTGTTTAACAGAATCAGACTGCTACTGCACACACTTCCTAACGTTTGCTTTTGACTCATCCTGATAGTCTCTGAAACAATTTGTAAGACAATCACCAAAATACAACTTACAATAACCATAGACTTATGAACACGTCAAAATTATTTGTAGTCAGTTAACACATTGGAGATTATTTCATTAGTACAACGATCAGTACAATGGCAGGATTGACTTGAATACGTTTATAGCTTGTCGAGTAAAGTAACCATGTACCAACTGACTTTTTAAGTAATTGATCTAATTGCTTTCAGTAACCAATACGGAAATTTGTACCATAAGGATGTTGAAATTTTCAACTCAAATATAAACAGTTCATTCTCACTGACTATAAGTTCACAAGTTGTGATTGAAAAATTATCTGCATCGAGTATCACATTACAACATCCGTTAATGGACAAGCTTACATACAATATAAATTAGTGGACTTGATTGAGGCATTGGAATCTAGCGATTTCAAAGTCATTGTGCCCTTCGTGAAATTTCAAAACTAGTTCACGAAAGCAATTTATATATACATAGATACATATACATGTAAATGTTTTGAAGCTTCATTGGAAGTAGCTATTCTCAAAACTTGTGATATCGTCCGTCATACGTGTGTGCAATCACTGTTGTACTAGGTCGACCTCCAAGCATGTGATTAGTTGCATTGGTCTTCATTAGGCGATTGATCGAATCTATATCATCATGATTACAAAGTCATCCGATTGCCACACTTTTAGAAAATCTCCAGCTGTCAAAGAATTCTCTTTATCCGAATGTTTGACATTGTTTATGTGCATTCATGTCCATATGTATAAATGGACGTTAATGTGCACAATATTAGTTAGTCGTTAGTGTAGGTTTTTTATTGCGTGAGTAATGAGCAAGCCTACTTTTTAAATCTAGAATTCACTGTAGTTAATGCATCGTATCTTATAAATGATTTATCTACTGTATTCTGTAGGTACTGCTTTTCGGAATGCAGTAATCTCGTCTAGATTTCCACGAACATTATCTGTAAAACAACTTGTTAAATTAGAGCATTACAAGCCTCAATATTCTAGTAGAAGGTTTAGTAATGGAATTCAGCTCTCAATTATAAAAGATTGTTTCACAGATAGATTTCGATTAGACCAAAGACACACTAAAGCTTGTTCTTCTTGTTGACGAAATCATTATCAGTAACTACATAAAACTATCGTTTGACGTCCATTGATGCAAAACAGCATTCAGAATTACTGAGTTATAACTCATCTCGATTGTTGATGCAACATAAGTTGTTTCTTTCTTCCTCACTGCTTGATCGCTGACTTTTGCGATTTTTAATTACTGAGTGCAAAGTAAAAATGAGAGCAGATGCTCCAAATACGATACTACATCTAATTCGTTCGGTATAATGATGACAAATACACAACGACAAGTTCACGATGGTAATTCAATATATGAAATGGAACACATAACTGCACACTACAAGATGGATGATATGTCTCAATAAATTAGAAGGCAGCAAGTAAATTTCACACTGCACATAATGTTTCAGGAGAGGAAGAAACAAGTGTCTACTGTTCGGCCATGTGACAAACATCATTTTTATCTAGTCAATACTCAGCCAGATCAGTCACAACACTTACTCATCTAACAATCTAATGAAACAGAACAGAACACAGAAAACTGTTATTTCATTTGACAAATGCCTTCACAGTAAGTGATGATTTCCGATAATGTGTAAACTAATGCAGACATAACGACTAGATATGACGGATTGGAATATATTGAGGATGGTCATTTCGCATTATTTCATTGATAGAATTTCAGAGCAAATAATATTCTTTCAACAGCTCTCTATGGAATCGATTTTGAGATATCTGTGTGATGTACGCAACTAACCTAATAAAGGAGCTTCGTAGGCTGATGTGTGTGATTCACTGCTAACCAATCAACATCACACAAACGATTTCAGGTAGATACGTGTTATTGAGTGTGATCGTGTTGGATAACTTGTTAAACACTACCAAAGACCTCAAATCCTAGAACCAGTGTAAGCGGGTGTGCAAAATCACAGCACAATACAGAGTGCATTTAGTATTCTGAAAATCATACGATCTATGAAATAAACCAATAGAGCTTATTACGTCAGCAGTGAACTGCATCTTAACATTCACACAGCTAGAAATGATTAGTTGAGATACATCTTAATAATCGAAAACACTGCTACTTAAACACTGATCATTCTTCGAACACAATCTGAATGCAGACATATCTCTAGAAACCAGCAATAAATTCACCAGCCTATTTATCAGTTGTCGTCTAGAATTATTATAATTATTATCATTATTATTATTATTATTACTATTATTATTATTATTAGTAGTAGTAGTAGTAGTAGTATTAGTAGTAGTCGTAGTAGTAGTTTCACTCGTCATCAATAGTTATCACTATCAATCGTTCTATTCAGTATTCTGTGAATGAAATAACTTCAAATGACCAAACGGATGACAAACATTTTCGAAATCGTTGTAAATTTATCAACACTTTGACCACTTGGTGTTTAGTGTCTGTTTTCATGTTGTGTTTAAATGATGAACCTAAGACGTCGCAGTGGCCAGACTTCAATGATCAGTTAGGGAGATATAATTACTATGATTTCCTGAACAGGTTTATCAACAATCCGACTCACATAATATGAATACTCATCTTGCAACCGACATTGCTGAAAGTGATATTGTTTTTCAAGTATTACCTTGACTTATTACTCTTCATCAAAACGAACGTCGAAAATCAAAATAAACTTGATAATTAGATCATATTTAACTACTGCATTATATTAAAAATACATGTTTGTATATGCATCAATCACTGAAAAAATTGGGATTCAATCAGGTGTGATATGGATTACAAATAGAAAACATGCTTACATCAAAACATGAAATAAATCATTTGGACAGAATGTCACGAAATATGCGCTAATTGATAAAACTATACAGAATAACACTGAGCAATAATAAATAATAAACATTATTCAGATGAAGTCCTCTGAGTTGCGATCCACTGTTTTTACTATCACAGTGTGACTTATTCGCATAAGGTCCGACACAAAGTGAGTACATGGTTGCGTGAGCAATAAACGTATTATCCAACGAAGAATGAAATAGTTCACTGAAAGGTCCGATAACGTAAATTGGCACATCCTCAGCACTGTGTGTAGCATACTTGAATCTCACCAATGATTCTGCTGTGTAGTTGTCTGCGAATCTGTCTTCTGTTGCCGGATCTGATCGAGGCGCATCCAATAGACCTCTCGGTCCATTGAAATAGGAGGATATGAGATACGATTTATTATCGTTTCCCTGTAGCACAAAAAGAAAATTATTTTAGATAATTCTATCGCACTACATGCAGAATGTTTTGTCAGATGGTCGACTTTTATTGTGTGTCACACAGTAATTAGATTCATGATATTTCCAGGTTATTGTGGAGTAGATTCACTAATGACACGGATGATTTTTTCTTTTGATTAAAAGTAAAGTAACATTTCACCGATCTCATACATAGTACTGTCGTACAATATGAATAAGTGATAAGCAGAAAATAGGAATGCTGCAAATATGAATAATTCATGCTATTTCACTTGAATTGTTGTTCCTGGTCGATGCGAATCGGTCGATTTCGACATCTACAAGTATTCGAACCGCCAGACCGTCAAATCCTCAATTCTCACAGATGGTGAGTTGTGTGATGAATGAACTAGTTTGCCTACTAGCTGCACTGGAAAAACTGAACGACTTCACATCGAGACTTTGTGACTGACAGTTGAGTTCTGTCACATTGATATGAATGTTGTTTCATCCTATTAAGCAATCGATCACTTTAAAAAGGCTTCCGTCTCAACCCACTTCAACTAGTTGAAGGAGGCAATCAAAGGTAATGTGACGAATCCTATCATCCGCTTTATACGCTTTGATAAATGAAGTGATTTCGTTATTCACTAACCAGTTATTCATGTGACTTGATGAGATTACTCAACACCACGGATCAACAAACTACTAACTAGTTACAGTGTTGGCTTCTCAATGGTGCTCTTTGTGGAGCACACTAACGATCGAATGTAAAGTGTTATTGTCTTCAGTTGAGTGAGCGCATTACTGTTAGGTTACAGATGCAAAGTCCAACGAATCACATTCTTCTCGCAGCCTTGTAGGTGCACACTGTCAAAGTGTTCCACTTTAGGACAGAGCAGTTGTTCAATCTGTCCTAGTTTTCGAGGTTTCTCATTTGGTATCAACTCGTAACAAAAACCCACTTCAATCTGACCAAATATCCACGAACATCTCAACCGAATGGAAATTGTTGATTCATCGAATCGTTGTGAGTATTTCTAGCCTGAGAAATGGTTGTTTCTTTATACGTGAACTCTTGTTTTTGATCTTAGTGTTGACAATCCTTTCATTCAGGTCGCAAACTATCAATCATGATACAGCTCCGATACTGTTATCCAGTACCTTAACTAAGTTCAGACTAGTTGGTTATTCGTGCATGTTTTGTTTAGATTTCGTTGGATATTTTGCGTAGAATTATTGTGTGTCTAGCAATCAACATATATGATTTGCATCAATCCTAGCTGTTACTATTCATGTATTCCGGCTAGATTTGCGATAATTGAGACTTGACAAACAATAGGAGTTCGAATTCTCAACTATTACACACATATCAATTATTTGTAATTTCATGTGTGTCGATAGGACACCGTGTCCTGTGTATAGAACTATATAAAATTGAAACAGAGTTTATACTCACTTTATCAGTGTCATCCACATCGAATACACTTGTGTTTCTCGACGGATAACCAACCACACCATAAGCATGAGAGTGATCTGCTGTTACGATTAGTAAAGTCTCTTTTACATCAACAAGTGACAATGCTTTTTCGATCGCTTTTTCGAACTCCAATGTTTCAGTTAATGCATATCTGCGAATAGCATGAAATTAAAAAACAATTGTTTGTTCATTTTATTCAAAACATGATTGTTACATAGGAGATATTTTATTAAAGATCAGAGCGACTTTAATATTAGGTCAAACAATAGAAAATAATCGACAAGCGGTTTCGGTTTCGTTGTAAAGCAAATAATATTTCGAGCGGAGTAATAATTTTAGTAATGGAAATAGCTGCAATAATAATAAGTGTTTCTTACTTGGCTCGACTTTCGTGATGGCCATGATCAATTCTACCCCCTTCCACTAACAAAAGGAATCCTTTGGGATTACGCGATAGTATTCTGATAGCAGCTTCAGTCATATCTGCTAAACTTGGCTGGTCTTGACCTTGAATTCGATAAGCCAAATGGCTCGGAGCGAACAAACCTGAAATTCAGTCCGTGATATTATACATGTATGAAATGCAGTAAAATGAGTCATAATGTCAGTAATGCTACACACATTGAACAAATCACTCAACTTTATATGTTTGAATGTCTTACAATATTGAAATGGTTTTTCAAAACGTTCAATACAAAATCAGCTAGGTCGAATGAGTTCTTGACATCAGCGAACGTTAAATTGCGAGACCAAAATTTTCTAAATTAAAACCTTTCTTAAATTGAACCAGAATATGAACAGTTTAAATAGTCAGTGTTGTTCAATAGCTTGCCCACATAAAGATACTATCAAAATCCACATTTATGCAAATCATTACATCATTAAACATAATTTATCTATTTATGCCTAAAATCACCTTGGAGGCAATCGAAAACATTTCAAGCAACTTCGTTGGATACTTTCAATAAGGTCATTTTCAGTTGCAAGTAATAATTTCGAAATCAAACACTACAACACCGAGTTATCATCACTGTATTAGGTATGAGAATTTCATTCACAATCTCTAATCTTATTCATCATTAACACTAAATACTTTTCATTTCCATTTAAACATGGATAGTGCCTGTGATCAATGAACCGACATCACAAGTTCTAAAATGATTTGATAAATTATCCACTACATCAGTTAAGTTGGGTTATTGTTATTCGAAAAATTCCGTAATCATTCACAATGTGAAGAACGCATTTTTAGCGTTCATCTGACAACTGAGTTGTTAAACTGAACTGTGAAACATTGTATCGTTTGTTAGTCACTGATACACAATAACACTGACATGAAACCGAAAAGCCGTAGAACATTATGTACTGAAAGTCATGAGTTGACAAACTCACCCAGAACGTAGTCAACTGAAGACCAGTCGGTTTGTTTAAACTCGTCATTTGTACGCAAGAGAACATGTTTGCGATTCATTCTGGTCTGCATCTCTTGCCATTCATGTAGGAGGTTGCGTGAATCTGAACGTTTCCCATTGTTGTCGGATGTGTTGTTTGCCGACGGACCATAGAATTCGGTCGCGCCTCCTCCCATTATGACGTTGACGTCGGATGCGTTAGTGAGTAGTTGTGCAGCAGCGTCTGTGCAGTGGAATCCCTGCTTGCTTGATGGTCTGAATGGGAGAAAGAGAGAGAGAGAGAGGTGAAATAGGAGGTCGTGACGATGATGTGAATGTGATGAACTCAGTGATTTGTGATAACGTTAGCTGTGCGAAGATGGAGGTAATATGACCGGCAGTTGGAAGGTAGTAATTTTTGATCGAATCAATCTACTAGAAAAGGTGTTGTGTTTACAATCTAATCACAGTTACAAACATTCTAATACATACGCTACTCTTGTTGAGAACGGCTGGTTTTATCCATATGTCACAACCCTAACAGCAACAGAATTTTTGTGTTTAACGAGCGTGCAGTTTTAATACTGTGACTTTCACATAAGGAGTAAGTGACTTGAATATGCGTTGCACATTCAAACCTTCTTTTTGACGATGACGCTTCGATTGCCTGAAAGTTGTAAATAATTCGTGTTGTTACTCCCTAATTCTCTTTTGTCTGACGTAACAATGAAACTAGTTCCGCTAGAGTTCACTCATTTTATGAATAACGGTTGTAATGTTTATTGAAACAATAAGCTGAATAAATTTAATTCATGTCTCAGGTAGACACTTACAGAAATTAACCAATAAGCTGGTATTTTATCCATTATATCTTTTTATGCTAATGTTTCTCTGTGTTTCTTTGCGAATACAGTTTTCGAATACTGAATATATTATTGTGATTATCGCTTTTGTGATGCAGTTAAGTCTGGATTTTCTGGAATCGATTTCAACACAAGTATACAATAATCTGTCGGGAAGTTCTGGTTGTAATTGATTTCTCTATTTGATAAATAAAATTGATAGTGCTTTACTGCTTTAAGACTTTATGTGGTTGAAGATATTTCACAGGCATCTTTTGAATTAAACTTCAAACTAGATGGAATTTGTCAGTAATAAGTACCAACAATTTTGAAAGAAAGAGTGCTCCCTTTGTGTTGTCGAGTGGCTTAGATTGTTGGCTACTTTATAACCTGAATAGTTGCCGACGTCTCGATCATTCTCTTTCTAATGTGGTAGAAAGTGTTGATAATATAATTTTCAATAATATGTAGAGGAATTGTGCTCAGCTAAGTCTTTGTTCCTTCTATTGTCCTCATAATTAAAGAAACAAAAATATACAGGGATTAAACTCTCACAGTCTAAATACAGATGGAGAATCTCGCCAATGAAAAAGTGGAAAAATACAATAAAATCCTGACCTTAGTTTCAAATCAGTTTACGCTGTTTATGGTATCGACAGTATCAAATCATTACAACAGCTTCTCTTCACTAGTCACTTCATGATGATTCGGCAACTGATATTTGCTTTAGTTAAAAAATTTATGCAAGAGGACTCTTTTTCATGATTTATCTCTGTGAGAAATACAATTCATCTTCCACTAATCATCACATCAGAAGCTGGGGAAACTAATAGACAGATGAATATTTGTTTATTCAAATGGGAGTAAGTGTGATTGTTTTAGTGACTGGTCACTAATTCTGAAATTCGTATATCTAGTCAAGAAGATTGTGGTAGTGAATGGTGTTTGTCTTTGACAATACGATTTATAATTTCCTTTAACTAGCACGTCCACAAATTATGGATACAAAGCCAAATTACCGTTTTGATGGACAATCATTTATTCAACATTTTATTCTTGATTTTACTAAGGAAAATTCCAGTTCGTTTCATCTGTTATGGGAAAAACTGTTTTCTAATAATAATGCATCTTAGTTTGTGGTATTTTGACATAACACACAACATACTATCTGTAAGTAGACCTGGTTACAACAAAACTTGTACGCATTATCTATGTAATTCACCACATTGAAAATGCACATAAGCATGAAAAGGTGTTCAAATTACTTTTCACTTACCCTTTCGACTCCCAATCTCGATGTAATATATTTGCATATGCTGCTGCGGGTGTTGCATGAGTAACTCTTGTAGTTGTAACTATCCCAGTGGATAATCCTGCTTTCGATGCATGCAGGATAGAAGACTTCGCCCTTTCTAACTCTGTTAACTGAGTGCATTCACAGCACTTTACTGTCCCTGTGATACCAACGGTATCCTGTGGCCCTTTCACACCTGAAAATGTTTTACAATCAACATAAGATTTAGCTAAAATTACTCATCATTTCGAACAACAGAGAACTAAATTGTAAAATCTCCGATTTGGCATGCATCTCACCATAATAAATCTATTCATCTTTGACAGTCTACTTCCAACAGTATTCAAATCAACATTCCTCTGAATTATACCAAATAATTTCGAAAATCGAATTCTACACTTAACCTTCCAAAATCTTGGTCTGCATGCCAGAAAATATGTTGCATGTTTGAAGTAGAATTTAACTCAACTGGATATTCTAAAATCTTTACTTCACTATATTTCCGATTATTGACAGATATCAAATGGTAAACTCTGTAGAAGTATCACTGTACACGTGCTAATCGCCTTTAATAAAACTCATGAGTTGTCAATCAGATGCAAAATTTCCTTCTATCACATGAAGGACAACATCAGTGAATCACTGGAACGGTATATCATAATTTACAGTTAATGATTTCAGACAATTTAGAATGATCATCACTATTAATGAATAATTAACCGATTTTCTAATTGACTGGTTCCATAAGCTTAGACCTCTCACATGAACTCTGGATGAAGCCATAAGAAAGTAACCCATGAGGATGCTATGGATAACAATTTTTATTTCATTTAGCTTCCTCAAAGTAATGAGATGATGAACTATCTAGATTAACATAACTAGCCAAGGTAGAGAACAATCTTCATTAGTAGATATGCGATCATCAATTATTCGATAATCACAACCAAAGGGGTCATAATAACAATGTTACAGGTAACATCAATTAAACGATTATTATTCTCCAGATTCCGCTTACAATCACCACTCTGTAGCTGACACTATTTACAGAGTAGTAACTGTCAAAACATTTTCAAGTGCAACTAATTTAACTAGCTTCTAGTAAACGAGTAGTTGTGTTGTCAATGAAACGTTTGGGTTTGTATTACACAGGACATGTATAGTTGGTTAGTTATAAGTGAGTTAAGGCATGACAATGTGGTTTCATCAAAACTTGGAAAATTGACTGCCTCACTAGAAACACTACTTCAAACAATCACTCACCTGAAAGAAAGGCAGTGGCTGAAGAACCCGAATCTGTTGTTAGCCTGTCTGAATTGAATGTGCGCACAAGTGATACAACAGGCCAGTTCTCCCATACTAATTGTACATCACCACCCAGAAGATTCATTTGCTCCGATTTCAAATATCTTGCTCCAGTAACTGTATTCAAGCTCATACCATCACCAATAAATAGGATGATATTTTTTGGTCGTTTGAGTAATAAGTAAGGTAGTGTTTGTTCAAATTTATTAAATCTCTCATCTGCTAACGTCTTCCAAGTTTCAGGATTTGCTACATCCAACGATGACGATCTGCACTCGATTTCATACTGTAATAGCCCAACTACTAGTAAAAATATTAACGGTTTCTGAGCCGTCGATAAAGTAATCGGAAGCATAGTTTTATGCTACGAGATTTACGTATTTGGTCGGTTGATTTGGTTTATTTAAATACTGTTTTATGCACCAAACGTTTTTAATATTTGATCAAGCACGGACTTCTGATTGGCCTGTTTTTCAACTGCTTAACAAATGAATGGATATTGTCTATTCTAACCATTCACAAAGTTCGCATCACATCAATTGTTGTTAATTCTAATGGGCCAGTTTGATTGATTTTGTGCTATGACAAATTGTTGATTATCGGGAACAGTGATATCAGTTTATAAGTCAAAATTAAGTAAATCCATATATTTATTCACAAAATATAACATAAGATAAAAATATTTTTTGAAAATATGGTTTAATGTTAATACGGAAAGTTACAACTACAAGGGATACTCGTGCAACACCCGCAGCAGCATATGCAAATATATTACATCGAGATTGGGAGTCGAGAGGGTAAGTGGAAAGTAGTTTGAACACTTTTTCATGCTTATGTGCATTTTCAATGTGGTGAATTACATAGATAATGCGTACAAGTTTTGTTGTAATCACATCTACTTACAGATAGTGTGTTGTGTGTTATGTTAAAATAATACAAACTAAAAAGCATTATTCTTAGAAAGACATCTGAGAGGTAAGCCTGTTAGGTGCTGCTACTCTTCCTCGCTATAGATTTCTTATAGATTTTTCAACTTCATTCCGAATCAGAGGACATACATCGATTTGCTATTCAGGTTGATTGAAGATTGTCGACAACTGAATTGTTATTGAATGCCAGTTGAATCGATCCTTGAAATTTTTTACCCCTCGATCCAATCTCCTGAACTGAGAATGAACGGTACGACCATCGTTTTCTGAGATAGTTTCACTTGCATTTAGGTTCCCATTACCGGTTTCTCTGATTAGTCTGAATGGTTGATGACTGTTGCCATTCATTCCTGCCTTTTCCATCTCTCTTAGCTTCTCTTTCCACCACTGTTTGCGATTATTGCGTAGGGTTTTTATTAGCCTGCGCGTAAGCTGACTCCGCTCCTCATCACAGTCAGAGCTATGCAGGAACTTTCCGAGTATCTACCATTTAGGTAGATGCTACTGATATCAACGGCTTCTACCTGACCTTATGGTTTGTCTTACTAGCAGATATCACTACTGTTTCTACAGATTTTTGGTTATCGGTTCACGCTGTCTCGGATTGAAATCACTAACATGGTTGCCTAACTGTTTATCCGGTCGCTCCTGAGATATACTTTTAGCTATACTATCAGGAAGTAGAACCTTTAGACGTTTCATTGTGGTGTCTTTCCTACGCCAAGCAGGCCGCAAACAAATATGCACTGGCACCAAGGAATGATCTTAATCTATACATGTGCTCCAGAATGGGCTACAGTCTTCTATCAAGCCCCTCCATCGGTGGCTGATAATGACGTGATCTAGTTGGGTCCAGCGTTATATCGGCTTCGGCGTTGCCTTGTGAAAAGTTGTTTGTCCTTGTGCTGAAAGTCATTATTTGCTGGGAATAGAAGCTTATCTGTGCAAAGCTGCTGCAGGCGGTCGCCATTATCTGATCTTCGAGCCACGACACCCCAAGATCCATCCAGGAGTCACAAGCCAGTATTACTATATAAGGGCGCCTAACTTTTTGAGGAAGGTAAAGAAGATTTCTGTAAAACGTAAATTTCACCTCTTCTGAACCACAGTCCAAGGAAGCGTAGACAGACAGAACGAAGAGGCAAAAGCAAATGTTTCCGTCTTTAATAGCCCTTACCGTAGCCTTTAGTCGGACAGAGCACAAGCTACTGTCTACTGGGATCTAATCTTAATCAACTAGTTCTTCCTCAGACCTTAATGCTATACCAACACCAACGAGACTATCGGAAGCAGCAGCAAGTCTTCCAGATACACGAAGTGTAAATCGAGTAGATTCTCTATCTGAGAAAGGTAAAATCAAGTACTCGAATCCTGTATGCGCTCTTCAGAGATGCAGAATACATCGATGGCGCAGAATTCCAGAGTCCCAGGTAATGAAGCCTGTTTACGGTTTGACACAATGCCGGGAAATTATAAACTCCAACATGTATTTTATAAATGGGTTTTAGGAGACTAGAATTAACGTTTAGTGAACTCAAATCGTCTCTACTAGCTAAGCGCTGTGATAATGGAATGTGGAAAGAGTTAGTTGTGGAGATAAAAGAGATGAAACGGGTTCAGGAAGAACTTAATGGTGACCAGTATTTTCTCATGTGCTGTAACGGACAAGAAGGAAGTTGTGAATTCCCGGCTGCATACACCGCGATAAGACACGGTGTAATACCGAAACACATGATATTACAAATAACTGATATGTGTGTAATAGTTGAGAATTCGAACTCCTATTGTTTGTCAAGTCTCAATTATCGCAAATTTAGCCGAAACACATGAATAGTAACAGCTAGGATTCATGCAAATCATACATGTTGATTGCTAGACACACAATAATTCTACGCACAATATTCGATGAAATCTAAACAAAACATGCACGAATAACCAACTAGTCTGAACTTAGTTAAGGTACTGGATAACAGTATCGGAGCTACATCATGATTGGCAGTTTGGAACCTAAATGAAAGGACTGTCAACAATAAGATCACAAACACGATTTCACGTATAAAGAAACAACCATTTCTCAGGCTAGAAATACTCACAACGATTCGATGAATCAACAATTTCCATTCGGTTGAGATGTTCGTGGAGATTTGGTCAGATTGAAGTGGGTTTTTGTTACGAGTTGATACGAAATGAGAAACCTCGAAAACTAGGACAGATTGAACAACTGCTCTGTCCTAAAGTGGAGCACTTTGACAGTGTGCACCTACAAGGCTGCGAGAAGAATGTGATTCGTTGGACTTTGCATCTGTAACCTAACAGTAATGCGCTCACTCAACTGAAGACAATAACACTTTACATTCGATCGTTAGTGTGCTCCACAAAGAGCACCATTGTGAAGCCAACACTGTAACTAGTTAGCAGTTTGTTGATCCGTGGTGTTGAGTAATCTCATCAGATCACATGAATAACTGGTTAGTGAATAACGAAATCACTTCATTTATCAAAGCTTATAAAGCGGATGATAGGATTCGTCACATTACCTTTGATTGCCTCCTTCAACTAGTTGAAGTGGGTTGAGAAGGAAGCTTTTTTAAAGTGATCGATTGCTTAATAGGATGAAACAACATTCATATCAATGTGACAGAACTCAACTGTCAGTCACAAAGTCTGGATGTGAAGTCGTTCAGCTTTTCCAGTGCAGCTAGTAGGCAAACTAGTTCATTCATCACACAACCCACCATCTGTGAGAATTGAGGATTTAACGGTTTGGCGGTTCGAATACTTGTAGATGTCGAAATCGACCGATTCGCATCGACCGGGAACAACAATTCAAGTGAAATAGCATGAATTATTCATATTTGCAGCATTCCTATTTTCTGCTTATCACTTATTCATATTGTGCGACAGTACTATGTATGAGATCGGTGAAATGTTACTTTACTTTTAATCAAAAGAAAAAATCATCCGTGTCATTAGTGAATCTACTCCACAATAACCTGGAAATATCATGAATCTAATTACTGTGTGACACACAATAAAAGTCGACCATCTGACAAAACATTCTGCATGTAGTGCGATAGAATTATCTAAAATAATTTTCTTTTTGTGCTACAGGGAAACGATAATAAATCGTATCTCATATCCTCCTATTTCAATGGACCGAGAGGTCTATTGGATGCGCCTCGATCAGATCCGGCAACAGAAGACAGATTCGCAGACAACTACACAGCAGAATCATTGGTGAGATTCAAGTATGCTACACACAGTGCTGAGGATGTGCCAATTTACGCTAATGGACCTTTCAGTGAACTATTTCATTCTTCGTTGGATAATACGTTTATTGCTCACGCAACCATGTACTCACTTTGTGTCGGACCTTATGCGAATAAGTCACACTGTGATAGTAAAAACAGTGGATCGCAACTCAGAGGACTTCATCTGAATAATGTTTATTATTTATTATTGCTCAGTGTTATTCTGTATAGTTTTATTAATTAGTGCATATTTCGTGATATTCTGTCCAAATGATTTATTTCATGTTTTGATGTAAGCATGTATTCTATTTGTAATCCATATCACACCTGATTGAATCCCAATTTTTTCAGTGATTGATGCATATACAAACATGTATTTTTAATATAATGCAGTAGTTAAATATGATCTAATTATCAAGTTTATTTTGATTTTCGACGTTCGTTTTGATGAAGAGTAATAAGTCAAGGTAATACTTGAAAAACAATATCACTTTCAGCAATGTCGGTTGCAAGATGAGTATTCATATTATGTGAGTCGGATTGTTGAAAAACCTGTTCAGGAAATCATAGTAATTATATCTCCCTAACTGATCATTGAAGTCTGGCCACTGCGACGTCTTAGGTTCATCATTTAAAACAACATGAAAACAGACACTAAACACCAAGTGGTCAAAGTGTTGATAAATTTACAACGATTTCGAAAATGTTTGTCATCCGTTTGGTCATTTGAAGTTACTTCAATCACAGAATACTGAATAGAACGATTGATAATGATAAGTATTGATGACGAGTGATACTACTACTACTACTACTACTACTACTAATAATAATAATAATAATAATAATAATAACAATTCTAGATGACAACTGATAAGTAGGCTGGTGAATTTATTGCTGGTTTCTAGAGATATGTGTGTATTCAGATTGTGTTCGAAGAATGATCAGTGTTTAAGTAGCAGTGTTTTCGATTATTAGGATGTATCTCAACTAATCATTTCTAGCTGTGTGAATGTTAAGATGCAGTTCACTGCTGACGTAATTATCTCTATTGGTTTATTTGATAGATCGTATGATTTTCAGAATACTAAATGCACTCTGTATTGTGCTGTGATTTTGCACACCCGCTTACACTGGTTCTAGGATTTGAGGTCTTTGGTAGTGTTTAACAAGTTATCCAACACGATCACACTCAATAACACGTATCTACCTGAAATCGTTTGTGTGATGTTGATTGGTTAGCAGTGAATCACACACATCAGCCTACGAAGCTCCT